AACATATGTCGGTGAGTTATTCCTTTCTGCGATACAGATTGACAAAGTTTGATTCTTATTCCTATTCTTTAGGAATTAATTCAAAAATAATATTGACATGGGAGTGAAATTTGGTATCTCACTCGAATATCAAGATTATTTTGGAATTTATACACTTTGAACCGAAATAAGAATCCAACTTTGACACTCTGTATCTCAGAAACGAATAACTTGCGAACATATGTTTATGCGAATATTCCTTCTTATTTTGACGTCAGCAACATTCTCCTGAATTTTTTACACGTACTCAAGAAACAGTGTTTTTCATCAAGGAGGAAATTGTTGGCTATGTGTTCCTTACATTTCTTGAGTAACAGAAGAAGATGCCTTTCAGCAACAGAAAGAGAGTTTTCGTATACATTTCTTTCTTATTCGAGATTTGATATTAATACCAACAATGTTTTAGATTCAAGAAGCAACGTGCTATAAATATACCATTTAAGCCGAATGGAAAATAGGCACAGAGGAAACTATACCAGAAACCAGCGATCGGTGATGAGATTTCCATTTCTGAATTCATTGCCTGTGGAAGTATTCCCAACAACATATAATCTCCAAAAGTTAAAAAAAAATTCCAATACCTACCTCCTGTCCCTATCCTCCCTAGGAACGCACGATGTTCTTTGAACATTATAGGGATTCCCTTTCGTGCGCCTCAAGCGATAAAAAAAAATTCGAATATTTCTTCAAAATTCAAAATTTGTTATGGAAGACGATATATTATAGTAGATGGAGACACGACAATTACCCTTACGAGGGGAGAGTATCAGCCCTTGGCTTCGGTAAACCCTCATTGCAACTGAGGTAGACGCCTAATGGGCAAGGTATATACAGTGTTTTTCATTGTGGAGGAGGAGAATCTGTTTCGTTCATTCAAGAAGAATATGTCGCATTTCAGCACCAGAATTTGAGAACAGTTTTCGTATACATTTCAGATTTTTATCCCATGTAACTTCACAATATCAACCGCCAATTATTTTCAACTCGAGATTTAATGCCAACTATGTTTTAGATTGAAGAATAAACGTGTTATGAATTGACCATTCGAGCCCAACGGAAATATCACACAGAAGACGAACCCAGACACAAAATCAGCAACCAGCGATGAGTTTCCGATACCTGTTTCGAATTCAATGCATATAGAATATGTTTTCAAAATTAATTATTTGTTATGGAAGGCGATATATCATAGAAAATGTTTCAGTAGTCACCTTTATGCCTCCGTGGAGACACGACAGGTACCCTTACGAGGAGAGAGTATCAACCCTTGGCGTCGGTAAACCCTCATTGCAACCGAGGTAGGCGCCTGGTGGGTTAGGTATATACAGTGTTTTTCATTAAGGAGAAAACTGTTGGCTATCTGTTACGTTCATTTAAGAAGAATATGTCGCATTTCAGCACCGGAATTTGGAGACAGTTTTCGTATACATTTCGGTTTCTTATTCCATGTAACTTCAAAATTTCAACCCACAATTTATTTATAATTCGAGATTTAATACCAACTATGTTTCAGATTGAAGAATCAACGTGTTATGAATTGACCATTCAAGCCCAACGGAAAAATCGCACAGAAAAGGAACCCAGACATAAAATCAGCAACCGGTGATAAGTTTCACAGTGTTTCTCATCAAGGAGAAAATTGTTGGCTCTCTGTTTCGTGCATTCAAGAAGAATATGTCGCATTTCAGCACCGGAATTTGAAAGCAGTTTTCGTATACATTTCAGTTCCTCCCATGTAATTTCTACAATTTCAACCCCCAATTTATTTATAATTTGAGATTATATGCCAACTATGTTTTAAATTGAAGAATCAAAGTGTAATTAATTGACCACCTGAGCCCAACGGAAAAATCGCAAAGAAGAGGAACCCAGACAAAAAATCAGCAACTGGCGATAAGTTCTACAGTATTTTTCATTGGAGAGAAAACTGTTGGCTATCTGTTCCGTTCATTTAAAAAGTATATGCCGCATTTCAGCACCGGAGTTTGAAAACAGTTTTCGTATACATTTCAGTTCCTTATTCCATGTAACTTCTACAATTTCAACCCCCAATTTATTTATAATTCGAGATTAAATACTAATTATGTTTTAGATTGGAGAATCAATGTGTTATGAATTGACCATTCACGCCCAACGGAAAAATCGCACAGAAGAGGAACCCAGACATAAGATCAGCAACCGGTGATGAGTTTCCCATTTCTGTTTCGTATTCAATTCATATAGAATATTTTTTCCCCTCATTGCAACCGAGGTAGGCGTCTGGTGGGTTAGGTATATATAGTGTTTTTCATTAAGGAGCAAACTATTGGCTATCTGTTTCGTTCATTCAAGAAGAATATGTCGCATTTCAGCACCGGAATTTGAAAACAAATTTCGTATAGATTTCAATTTCTTATTCCATGTAACTTAAAAATTTCAACCACCAATTTATTTTCAAATCGAGATTTAATGACAACTATGTTTTAGGTTGAAGAATCAACGTGTTATGAATTGACCATTCAAGCCGAACGGAAAAAGCGCACACAAGAGGAATCCAGACATAAAATCAGCAACCGGTGATAAGTTTCCCATTCCTGTGTCGTATTCAATTCATATAGAATATTTCTTCAAAATCAATTATTTGTTATGGAAGGCGATATATCATAGAAGATGTTTCAGTAGTCACCTTTATGTCTCCATGAAGACACGACAGGTACCCTTACGAGGGGAGAGTATCAACCCTTGGCGTCGGTAAACCCTCATTGCAACCGAGGTAGGCGCCTGGTGGGTTAGGTATATACAGTGTTTTTCATTAAGGAGAAAACTGTTGGCTATCTGTTTCATTCATTCAAGAAGAATATGTCGCATTTCAGCACCGGAATTTGAAAACAGTTTTCGTATACATTTCAGTTTCTCATTCCATGTAACTTCACAATCTCAACCCCAAAAGTATTTTAAAATCGAGATTTGATGCCAACTATGTTTTAGGTTGAAGAATCAACGTGTTATGAATTGAGCAGTCAAGTCCAACGGAAAAATCGCACAGAAGAGGAATCCAGACATAAAACCAGCATTTGGTGATATGTTTCCCATTCCTGAGTCGTATTGAATTCATATAGAATATTTCTTTAAAATTAATTATTTGTTATGGAAGGCGATATATCATAGAAGATGTTTCAGTAGTCACCTTTATGTCTCCATGAAGACACGACAGGTACCCTTACGAGGGGAGAGTATCAACCCTTGGCGTCGGTAAACCCTCATTGCAACCGAGGTAGGCGCCTGGTGGGTTAGGTATATACAGTGTTTTTCATTAAGGAGAAAACTGTTGGCTATCTGTTTCGTTCATTCAAGAAGAATATGTCGCATTTCAGCACCGGAATTTGAAAACAGTTTTCGTATACATTTCAGTTTCTCATTCCATGTAACTTCACAATCTCAACCCCAAAAGTATTTTAAAATCGAGATTTGATGCCAACTATGTTTTAGGTTGAAGAATCAACGTGTTATGAATTGAGCATTTAAGTCCAACGGAAAAATCGCACAGAAGAGGAATCCAGACATAAAACCAGCATTTGGTGATATGTTTCCCATTCCTGAGTCGTATTGAATTCATATAGAATATTTCTTTAAAATTAATTATTTGTTATGGAAGGCGATATATCATAGAAAATGTTTCAGTAGTCACCTTCATGTCTCCATGGAGACACGACAGGTGCCCTTACGATGGGAGAGTATTAACCCTTGGCGTCGGTAAACCCTTATTGCAACCGAGGTAGGCGCCTGTTGGGTTAGGTATATATAGTGTTCTTCATTAAGGAGAAACCTGTTGGCTTTCTGTTTCGTTCATTCAAGAAGAATATATGTCGCATTTCAGCACCGGAATTTGAAAAAAGTTTTCGTATACATTTCAGTTCCTTATTATATGTAACTTCTACAATTTCAACCCTCAATAAATTTATGATTCGAGATTTAATACCAACTATGTTTTAGATTGAAGAATCAACGTGTTATGAATTGACCATTTGAGCCCAACGAAAAAATCGCACAGAAGAGGAACCCAGATATAAAATCGGCAACCGGTGATAAGTTCCACAGTGTTTTTCATTAAGGAGAAAATAATTTGAGATCACATACCAACTGAATTTTTTTGATTGAAGAATCAACGTGTTATGAATTGACCACTCAAGCCTAACGGAAAAATCGCACAGAAAAGGAACCCAGATATAAAATCAGCAACTGGTGATAAGTTTCACAGTGTTTTTCATTAAGGAGAAAACTGTTGGCTATCTGTTTCGTTTATTTAAGAAGAATAAATGTCGCATTTCAGCATCGGAATTTGAAAACAGTTTACGTATACATTTCAGTTTCTTATTTCATGTAACTTCTACAATTTCAACCCCCAATTTATTTATAATTCGAGATTATATACCAACTATGTTTTAGATTGAAGAATCAACGTGTAATTAATTGACTATCTGAGCCCAACGAAAAAATCGCACAGAAGAGGAACCTAGACATAAGATCAGCAACCCGTGATAAGTTTCCCATTCCTGTGTCGTATTCAATTCATATAGAACATTGTTTCAAAATTAATTATTTGTTATGGAAGGCTAGTTCTAACTGTTCTAACTATGAAGAAAGAAGAGAATAAAAATCTTGTGTTGACTTGTTCATCACAAGCAGCACAGCAGCATGCTACTAATTGAATTACTTGCGAGATACATTTATCAATATCGTTCTTGGGTCTATCCACCTAGATAGTCAAATGAGTCGAAATGTCATAGTTCATTTGTCAATTGTCTGATGGGACCAATTTCCGATGAACTCATTGGATTATTTATTCTAGAAAGGAAGACATACATTCCAGGTGGTCCTATGATTAATTCTTTCAAAAATTAAATTGGTATCACTGATGGCTAGCCCTCCTGCTGACAAGTGACAGTGACAACACTGACAACTCCACTCAGTCCGCTCAGCTGATCAAATTGAAACTTGTTTTTGTTTACTTCTTGGAGTTTTGGAAGAAATTTGGAACCAATTTCTGTTCTATAATTTTTTTTTGAAATTTCACTATATACTCAATATGGCGTTTACGTTATGGAATTTATTTGAAGCCACTGTATTATGTCTGAATGCAGTTTGTATTTTGAATGAGGAACGATTCCTCAGCAAAGGTAAACTTTTATATTTCATATCATATAGACATGTCAAGAAACAATCTATAAAATTATATTCCTTTTCCAGTTGGGTGGAGTGCTAAGAGCACAAATAATCAGGGATTCGGGGAAAATCCTTCAGCTAAATCACAGATTTTCAATCTGATTCATTCTATCAGAACTGTGACTAGGAGTGAGTTTTAAAAAATATTTCATGGAATATGTACTGATTAATTTTAATTTTTCAGTTCCACTGATATTCCTGAATGTTGTAGTGATAGTGATAAAACTCATACTGGGATGAACTGAAAAGAATGTATTTTTTGTATCAACTCATTAATTTTAAGAATAAATTAGGTCATTCCACAATCTTCTTTTTCAATATATTTTTTGAAAACCTGGGTGTTCCATTCCCATATTAGGGAATTGCATTGCACAAGGTGTTCTGAAATATGCGTTGGTCAAGGGAGAGGAAACGGTGGCAATAGGTGTAGAAAATGGTCAGAAATGTATGACAATACTTGGGGCATTATAGACATTATCGGCATTATTCGAAAATGATCGGCACTAAATGGTAATCATTGGCATTGAAGAAGAAATGCAGAAATAGGATGCAATAGACGGCAATAGATATGAAATATTCTGGATATATTGGAGATAGTCAGTGGGGAATAAACTGCACTGAATGACATAACAGCAAAATAAAGTAGAGAGAGCGTCCTCAGGGGGTGTCTATTACTCTATTCTTTATTTCTGTCCAATCATTCATTGCAGTGAGTTGTCCCTATGTGTTGTTTTTATTTATATTTGGAATTTTCTATTCCTCCTTAGTTCTCCATCCCCTGTATCTACAATATATGATCGAGGTGCAGAATGTTTCTCCTTTATTCTTCCTCTTTGCCAAGTCTTTCCATTTCTAAGATAAACATCATCTCCTTCACTAAGTGACTGCATATCTTTAGCACTTCTATTGTAATATTTCTGTTGTATTTTCTGCATTTGTTCTTTCTTCTCTTTTATCCCTTCAACAAGATCAGGTTCCAAATTACTTTCCAAATTGGGTAATTTAGTTCTGAGCATACGGTTGAACAAAATTTGAGCTGGTGACTTTTCTAAATATTTCAGTGGAGTATTTCTATATTCCATCAACATAGTATAAATATCAGTTTTTTGTTCATAAGCCTTTTTGAATATAACCTTGGAAATTTGAACTGCACGTTCTGCAAAACCATTGGACTGTGGATATCTGGGACTACTCGTAGTTATTTTAATGTCCCATTCCTTAGCAAATAGACGGAACTCATAACTATCATATGGCATGTTATCAGATACCAATTCTTCAGGAACCCCATTTCGTGCAAAAATCTCCTTGAGCTGTGTAATTACACATAATGCAGTTTTGCCTTTCAACTCTTTAATTTCTAGCCAGTTTGAAAAATAATCGATGACAATAAGGTAGTTTATTCCGTTGAACTCAAAAAATATCACTAGCTACCTTTTTCCATGCTCTATTAGGAATTTCATGGGAAATTAGTGTTTCTTTCTGATTATTCCTCTGGAATTTGTTACAAACTTCACAATTTGAAACTTCCCTCTCAATATCCTTAGTTATTCCTGGCCAGAACAAACATTGTCTCGCCCTCATTTTCATTTTTTCCATTCCTACATGACCTTCATGCAAATTTCGCAACATAGTCTTCCTAAGTGACAAAGGAACTATTAATTTATTTTCCAGGAATAGTAGATCATCAGCTACGGATAAAAATTTCTGTAGATTCCAATAAGAATCTGCAGGACACCTCACATCTTGCTTATACCTAGGCCAGCCATTTATATGATAGCTAACTACCTGTTGTAAAACAGGATCTTGGCGAGTTTCCATTTGAAAATTTGCTTTTCTATCGTCTGTAATTGCTAAATGTTTTGAAACTGAGTGTACTACATTTTCGAGATCGGGGTCGTCATCTACAGGATCCTTGAGAAATGCCCTAGATAAAGTATCGGCGATAAACATCGTTTTACCTGGAGTATAAATTATTTTCAAATCATATTTCAATAATTTCAAAATCATTCTCTGTAATCTACTAGTGGCTTTAGAAATATCATTTTTCAAAATAGTTTCCAATGATTTATGATCAGTTTGAACAGTTATCTTCTTTCCATAGACATATTGATGAAACTTTTCCAAACCATAAACAATGCTCAGCAATTCTTTTTCTATTTGCGCATAATTTTTTTCACATGCTGTCAACGATCTTGAGGAGTAAGCTATAGGCTGAGAACTTTGTAGAAGACACACACCCAACCCGTCTTTGCTAGCATCACACTGTAATACTACTGGTAACTTGACATCGTAATATCGCAGTACAGGAGTATTGCAAAGTTTATCCTTCAAATTCATGAAACTTTCAGCATGAATAGGTAACCAACAAAACTCAACCTCATTTCTCAACAGATTGCGCAAAGGTGCATTCAACTTTGAATAATTGGGTATAAATTTAGAAAGATAATTTACTGTACCCAAAAATCTCCTCAAATCTTCTTTATTTTTAGGTTCATCCATCTCAGATACTGCTCTTATTTTCTCAGGGTCCGGTTTAAATCCTTCTGCACTTATTATATTTCCAATAAACTTTACTGATCCAACTCGGTATTGAAACTTATCTCTATTGAAAGTAACATTATTCATCTTTGCAGTCTCCATAACTACTCTTAAAATTCTATCATGTTCCTCAATGGTTTCTCCAGCAATAATCAAATCATCAAATACATTTAAAACACCTTGTATCCCTCCGAAAATATTTCTAATTTTTTTCTGAAATACCTCTGGAGCTGATTTGATTCCAAAAGGCATTCTCAAGAACTTGTATCTTCCGAAAGGTGTGTTGAATACACATAAATCTGAACTAGACTTATCCAATTGTATTTGCCAAAATCCAGAACTCATATCTATGACAGAGAAAAACTTCTTACCATTCATAACTGCTACTATATCCTCCTGAGTAGGTATTGAAAAATGCTGCCTTTTTATAGCCCTATTGAGGTCTTTGGGATCTAAACAAAGTCTAAGTGAGCCATTTTTTTTCTCAACAATAACTAAACTGTTCACCCAATCAGTGGCATAGTCAACCTTCATTATGACCCCGATACTTTCGAGCTCATCTAATGTTTCTTTCAACTTTGGCTGCAGAGAAAATGGAACTCTTCTGCAAGCATGAATAACTGGTTCAACTCTATCATCAATTTCAATGTGATACTCACCATCTATTTTGCCTAAACCAGTGAAGACAGACTCATTATCAAGAATTACCTGTTCTTTTTCAGTTTTAACCTGTAGACTATCGATTCTCTTAAGAATATTCAATCTAATACAACCAGATAAACCTAAAATTGGCTGAGACTCAATACTTGTCACCAAGAATTCTAAATTAATATTCGTATTACACATCAATGAAATTTTACCTAATGCTTGAGTTTTGAAATTTCCGAAACTCACCAAAATTGCCTTAGTTGAACCTAGCTCTAGTTCTGAATTGCCTTGTTTCAGTTTTCTAAAGATACTCTCGGGTATTATATTGACCTCACTACCAGTATCAAGCTTAAAATTGATTAGAAATTGATCAATCAAAATGTCAGCATACCAAGCCCTACATATCTCATGGATAACGATTTCAGATATTAAAAATTCTTTATCATTGTCATCATTACTAACTTCAATTTCTTTTACCTTTCTCATGTTATTATCACTCGACTTTGGAAATTTTCGCTGACAACAATACTCAAAGTGATTTCTACCTTGACAAAAATTACAAATTTTTCCAAACGCAGGACAATTCCTAAACTCATGAAACCTATTACATCTATAACACTGGTTATTCTGATCAAAATTCGCTTGGCGCTGGAAAACTCCGCGTGGTCTCCATTGTCCCAATCTCTTGACTTCTTCAACGTTCGGCTTGTCTGGTGATAGTCCCCATTTTCCCATTTTCTTGATCTCTTCAACTTTCTGGTGATCCTGTAATACTCTGGACTGCTTTTCACTAAGTTCTTGAATAACACAGATATCTATCGCTTCTGTCAATGAAATGTCATTAGTCTTTAGTAACATCTTCTGTATTCTCTTATCCCAAATTCCGCTAACTATCCTATCTCGTATTAGACTATCTTTCAAGGATTGGAACTCACAAGTTGCAGCCTTTGTTTTCAAACTCAATAGAAAAGATTCAAAGGGCTCACCTTCATGTTGTTCAACAGCAAAGAAATTGAATCTTTCAATTGTTAGATTTCTCTTTGGAACAAAATATTCCTCGAACTTTTCCAGAATAATACTGAATTTGTCTTCATCCTCTTTGTTCACATATTCGAACGTATCTTTTACTTCAATAGCATCCTCTCCGATCAAATTCAGTAATATATTGATTTTCCTTTTATCTGGAGCAGAGTCCAGTCCTGCAGCACTCATATATATTTCGAAACAACTTCTCCATCTCAACCATTCCAATCCGTTGTTGCCCTTCATCCTCAACTTGGGTGGCTTATTGAAATTATCTGTCATTGTGACTTCGTTACAATTACGATAAGTACTACTTTATACTCTTCCTCGTTTCAATCTTCGGAAAAATCCATTTTAATCGCTGCCACCATGTTTAATCTTCTTATATTGATATAAAAAGTCTCCAATGTACATGAAACTTTTATTAATTAATTCTAAAAATTATGACAATCCTTCATCCATAACCATGGATACTACACGTTACAAAACCATATACATAACGAACAATCAAACTATAATATATAACAATAGACATTATCGGCATTATTCGAAAATGATCGGCACTAAATGGTAATCATTGGCATTGAAGAAGAAATGCAGAAATAGGATGCAATAGACGGCAATAGATATGAAATATTCTGGATATATTGGAGATAGTCAGTGGGGAATAAACTGCACTGAATGACATAACAGCAAAATAAAGTAGAGAGAGCGTCCTCAGGGGGTGTCTATTACTCTATTCTTTATTTCTGTCCAATCATTCATTGCAGTGAGTTGTCCCTATGTGTTGTTTTTATTTATATTTGGAATATGTCCTTAATCCATACCTATTCAAAGTGACAAGTGACTGCAAGTGACCACACATATATTATCGAAGTTACTTCGTTCGCCGATAGATGTACCCTGGGGATGTAGTTGAACTTGAACTTCGCCGAAAAATGTATCTCAGGAAATCAGTGTACTGTACTTAAAGCCCTAAACCTGAACTTCGAATTACCTTCACTCAAACAGAAAAAATAACTCAGGAAATCGAAATAAATACCCAAGAAAATATATTATTATTATTATTATTAAAATGAAGAGACGTATGTACACTCTCGGATGTATGAGCAAAGTAGAGATATACTTATTCTCCTAACTCATCCAAATTCAGATATACATCGTCTTCTGA